AATGACTAGGTAAAAGTGCCAACCTGGCCGTGGTCCTGGTAGTTGCCATTTGAGCCAATCATAATCCATAAGTACATATACAAATAATAAATCCCAACGACCTTTTTAGGTTTCTCTTTAAGTACAACGCGACCAAGAATTTGCCTTTATGATTGGGACCAGAAATGATCCATTCTGTTTAGAGAATTCTTAGTCAGAAAATGGATTTGGGTTTGGGTGGAGGCAGAAGAAGGGTTGTGGTAATTGGTGGGGGCGTCGCCGGTTCCCTCATCGCAAAATCTATCCAATTTCTTTCTGATGTCACTCTCATCGATCAGTATGAACACTCTTTATCTTTCTCTTGAAATCCCATGTTTCTGCTATTGACATTTAAATCTCACGTTGTATGTTGGTTTCTGTGATAGTTTAGTATACTTTTGTCCTTGGATTAAGTTTTGTTTGTATCAATTAAGAAGGGAAAACAAACATGAAATGATTTTTCCCATAATTAGTTCTAAAACGTGGCTTCAACAAAGCTCTTGGTGGAAAAAAGTTCAGGTTAATTTTGTGTTTACATTTTGTCCTAGAATTGGTCTTTCAATCTGATATTTGCTTTTTAGCTTTGAAGTTAAAAACCAATCAACTATTAATGGTGAAACAGAGCTAATTTTTAACTGTCCTGTTTTAGGATTAGAAGTTGGAAACGGGTAATTGGTCTTTTGCTTTCTTTTTTTTTTTTTTCCCATTTTATGTGAGATAATACTTGAACAGAGTTTAAACCATGGAACATCTTGACAAATAAATCAAAATAGAACCGGTCGCTCTTCGATCGCCACAAACCGGTAGTATACCATACTTGGAGAGCATAGCTAACATGGAGATGAAATTCCGACATAAGTTCTTTTTCCGTCTCGAATTGTCTAAACCGATATGGCGCGAATCGGAGTGAAGCTGGACAAATATATCAAAATAGAATTGGCATGTAGAATAGAAGAAAGAAAATGCAAGGGAAGACTAGAGGGAAAAACAATAGAAGAGGGAAGTAGGTTTCAATTATGTAACTTCACTCAATTGCAAAAACTATTGCATTCAAAATTATCAAACTCGTTTATAGATGCACAAAACAAACTCAACCAGAAAATTGAAGATAAAAATGAACACACAAAAAAAGGCAACATTAATTTAAGGGGAGATTTTCTGGTATGTCTGGTGTACTGATAGGTCATGTGTTTTCTAACCATCAGATCGGCGTATTTTTTTATTTTTACGTGATTTTATGTAGATTCGGCGAACAAAAAACATGACTTACCGGTATATTGGCGTACAAAAAAGGTTCCTAATTTAAGATGGCAATTCCTATTTAAAATGATAGTTATACATTCTTCCTTTAACATGAAATCTAATCTGTCTACTTGTTATGGAGTCATCATCATTGAGAATTTTGAACCAGGAAGGAATATTTTGAGATCCCCTGGGCCAGCCTGAGGGCAATGGTGGAGCCATCATTTGGCGAGAGATCGGTGATCAACCATAGAGACTATCTCACAAATGGTCGTCTAGTTACGTCTAGTGCGATCAACGTCACTGAAACTGAAGTCTTGACTGCAGAGGGCCGTCTGATTGCGTACGATTACCTTGTCATCGCCACTGGCCACACCGATTCTTTTCCGAAAACAAGGACCGAGAGACTAAAAGAATACCAAGCAGGTAACTAATTCACTCTCAATTATTAACGACTCATTCAATTCACTGATTCGAGTTTTCAATTCGAGTTGAGATGTGATTTTGTATGAGAGTTTTTAACTGTAACAGAAAAAGTTAGATATGATTTTTTCTGAGAGCTTTTAACTATAATAAAATTGAAATTAAAAGCTCGAATCGGTAAAATTAACGAGTTCTGAGTCACTTCTATAAATATTAGTAACATTTGATTATCTAATGCCAAAACTTATATCAAATGGCAGAGTATGAGAAGATCAATTCGGCTCATTCCATTTTGATCGTTGGAGGAGGCCCCACTGGCGTCGAACTTGCAGGAGAAATCGCGGTCGATTGCCCAGATAAGAACCTTACTTTAGTGCATGATGGTTCAAGGTTGCTGGAATTCATTGGACCAAAAGCAGCTGACAAAACTCTGAATTGGTTGACATCAAAGAAAGTTGAGGTGAAACTGGAGCAATCAGTCCGTCTAGACGATATCTCGGACGGAGGGAAAACATATCTCACTTCAGATGGAGATATTCTCAAGGCAGATTGTCATTTCCTATGCACTGGAAAACCACTTGGTTCTCTTTGGCTTAGAGGAACTAATTTGAAAAATAACTTGGATAATCATGGAAGGTTAATGGTTGATGAGAATCTAAGAGTGAAGGGTCGGAAAAACGTATTTGCCATCGGAGACATTACTGATGTTCCAGTAAGTGGCTAATGCCGTGTTTGGAATTGTTCTTGTTTTTATTTTTTTACGTTTTTCAAAAAAATAAAAATAAAAATAATTTTAAAACGGTATTTAACGCAATTAAAGACAAAAAAAGAAAATGAAAATGATTTTTCGATTTAGTGTAAAATGAGAGAGTTTCTCCTCTCTCGAGCAGAGATAGACGTTAATAAGTTTTTTATACTGAAAATAATTTTTTGATAAAATTGTCAAACGCATTTTTAAAAATGATTTATGTCTGAGATTGAAAACGTTTTCATTTCTATTTTCATATTAAAAATAAAATTATTTTGAAACGAGTTCCAAACGCACCCTAAACTTTGTCTTGTTATGTTTTTATGAACACAAACAGTACCCTTGTCGTTATTTCTAAATTAGAGTGGTGTCGTAATATTATTTTGTCTTTTATTGTCGTTCCAAGACTTCATCTCTAATTTGTTTTTTAATACCAAATAGATTCCCTATTAAAATGGAAAAAAAAATGTATGAAATTTTCAAAGGCAACACTTATTTAGTCTCTAAAATAGTTGTTTTGAGAGAGTTTTGTCTCTAAGAATGAATTTTTCTTGTTGTGAGCCTAGATTGTTTGCTTGGAAATTTTCCGAATGATACTGAGATATTGCTTCTGGAGTCAATTCAAATTAATTTGGTTCTGCTGAGATATTCCTATACACGGAATCATATTGGAATCCATTTGATATATATTGCTAGTCAGCAATAATATTGATGGATAGATAAAAATACCTTGGAAGGAAGTATTTAATTTGCCATGTGTTTTATTCAGCAAGAAAAATATTGTAATGCAAAACTGATCTTGAATGAGAATTATTATCTGCAGGAGATCAAGCAAGGGTATTTGGCACAAAAACATGCTTTAGTGGCTGCAAAGAACTTGAAGCTATTGATGGAAGGAGAAAAAGAGAGCAAATTGGCTAAGTACCAGCCTTCTTCTGTAAAGGCAATAGTTTCACTTGGTCGGAGAGACGCGGTGGCGCAGTTATCGTTCACCACCGTTATAGGAAGCGTTCCGGGAATGATCAAATCTAGAGACCTTTTTGTAGGGAAGACAAGGAAGAAGTTGGGTCTAGAAATCAAACTTTAGATGATTAATTATATGTAATTAAGGTGATGTGCATATCATTGAAGAATGAATTTTTCCTTCTTTAACGTACAAAAGGTTAAGACGTAAAATGTACCTTTACATGCGTATGCATGCGCATTTCTAGACTTGCGTAACAATATATTATAGTGACGTGTGAAATGACATATGTATAGCAATGTTTCATATGGACTTCTAGCTATATGATGATAAGCGGGTATATATTTTGTATACATTAAAATAAGTACTTATGGTTCTAAACATTTCATGAGTAACTCTTTGTAAAAAAGATGTGGACCCTTTTTTTTTTTTTGGTGGCTCTCATGATTTTTTTTTTCTTTGGAAAAGGGTTTGATAATAATTTTTGTTTTTGAAAAGATGAATAATATGGTCCTTAGAAAAAAAAAAAATATATATATATATATATAGGCTCGTTTAGTTCGTTAATTTGAGTTGAAATTAGATTTTATGTGAAAATTTTTTACTATAGTAAAAAAATTAGATGTGATTGGTTTTTTGAGTTTTTTACTATAGTAAAATTTGAATTTTAAACTTAAATCGGTGAAATGAACATAGTCTATATCTCCTACTTCTACTCATCTAGTTGAAACTGACAACTTTGTATTATGTTCTATATAT